GTATGAAATGCTTTGAGGATTGTATCTGACCAATTTGTTCCCAATCCTATGGGCCAATCTCATATTATATCCACTGAAACCTTCTTTCTTAGATTTCCTTTCTCATTCTCTTGCGTTGTGTAGCCTTTACAGTACTTGATTACATTAGTCCCTGTTAGGAAAAAAATGTTTGGGCATTGAAATCTTACCTTTTTCTTCTCTGCCTTGGATCTCTTAATTTCTTGCTCGAGAGGATCTTGAAATTTTCGTTCAAGATTATTAGAAACCTTAGTTGAATGTTTTGGGGTTTAAGTTTGGTCCATACAATAAATCTCCTTATAGGACCATTTCTCATTCAAAGGCCTTTGTGGAAGAGTCTGACAGTTTTTGGCTTTCTTGATTGGTATTCGGGCTTCTTCTATGCCACTTTTCCTCGAGTGATGCCTATCACTCATTATCAATTCAACGAAGCTTTTTGGGACCATATCAGATTTTTGGAGCTTGCTCGAGTTATGATATTCTTTAACAAGTCCTTGATCATGTTAGTGCCACATTAGCCACACCACTATCATTCAGAGTCTTATAGAAAGCCTCTATAGTAGGATCCTATGGTGGCTTCTCTCCATAGATCAAAATAGTCATCATATGCAACAATTTATACATCTGTTCTTTTGACTCGTCTTAGAATTTCCTTGCTTGATCAATCATTTCTTGTTTAGTTTTAACAAGTTGTTCTTGGAGTTTCTCGATTCTTCTAACACATGCTAAGATATCATTCATGCCTCATATATTTCTCTAGGAAGACCAAGTTGACTCCAATTTGCTTTTTAGAATTTCTGTTATCGAATACTCCATGAATTACTCCCAAATTTTCATGATTGAATATATGTAGAAAAGATTTGAAACAAACAAAATGCAAATGCAAACATAAATATGCAAAGATGCGAACACAAAAAGTGTTGGTCCTAAAGATGAATATCATAGAACAAGTTTTATTAGAGACAAAAGTCTTCACTATTACAATATAGTCCATCCTTATAGACATGCTCTCACTTGGTCTAAAGTAGGTTGATGATTTATCTTTGTTCTCTCTGGACTTCCTTTAGCCATCAATGCACGTCTGTATATGCGACTATGTGATTAAAAACTTTTTTCCTTTATGAAACATTTCTATTTGGTAGTCTTTTGCGGATCAGCACATTTCCATTATGTCATAAAGATGCAATGAAAAAAGGCAATAAATGACACAAAAATGAGAAGAAATGAGTTAGTATAGGCGAGAAAATAGATAAAGATAAAAAATAATATTTAAAGATAAATTAACACCTACCCAGTCATGATACCTACCCAAACATGTTTTATTAAATAAAATTCTACCCTGACATGCTTTCTACCCAAAATTATTTACTTCTAGAAATTAATCCAATTTGCATGGTATCTAATTCACATCTTTCAAAAGAAATATATTCTATGAATTTAAAGTAAAATGTAAAGGTTTAGAGTTGTTCCTCCGTGTAAGCTTATTTCAGTACCTACTAACGGAAAAAGATTTTGTATGGCTCTACCTAGGGTGACCATTCTATGGTTCACTACATGCATGGTTTCGGCTCTAACATAAAAATATACTCGAATTATCTTTGTTGTCGGTGCCCCATTGGGCTGCTAAGCCCTCAATCCTCACCCATTATAGGCTTAAACGGATCGAGTTCAATTCGAGGGATTCACTTCCTTATACCCATACGAGGAATAAATCCTTACGGAGGTACAAGTCATGTGTATCCCAGAGGTTATTTGCTATATCTCATATGAAGAATAAATTCTTACAAGAGCAAAGCGTTCACCCCTACTTGGGACGAAGCTCGGGTATAGGGCTTATGGCATGCAAATGCACGTGAGGTGTGTGAAGAGGAACACAAAAACCTTCTACCAAACAAAATAACAAAAAATAAAAGGAGTACTCTCAAGAGAAATTTTGATGAAGCTGAAAACATGAATTTGAACATCAGTACAACTATTTACATAAAGAAATAATGCAAAATTCAATAAAATTCAATAAAAGTATCATAAGTTAATTATAAACTCGTAATTTTCACCACTATGACAATGTATATGCGACTTACAGACTGACTCTCTAAAGTGTCCCCAACAGAATCGTCAAGCTGACGTAACGTCTTTTTTGACGAACGAGTAATTTTTCGATGAAAACCTTGAATTTACGACTTATTTAGAAAAATTATTTTTTTGTTTATTTTGATTAAACTGATTTGGAAGTCGCTATCGACCCTTGGGCTAGGTGAGCCAAATACCTAAAAACTCATTTTAAAACAAGTTTAAGAAAAAACGTTTTTAAGACAAAAATTGCTCTGCGTTATCAAAGATTCATTTTGAAAGATTCGAGAGTCGATTACGCATGGAGAAGTGTTAACACCCCACAACGCCAAAAAATTAATACTTAATCACTTATATATTGTCTTGGTGGAAATTAAAAAAATTCAAATCAATATTTAAAGTGTGATCCTTTTATTGGATATTGATTACCTTATTTTGAATTAATTATTAGAGAACATTCCTTATATTTGAAAAGAAATCACGAAATTTGCACATCCTCCAATGGTAAGACTATCTCATCTATTTCTCCTTTATATGAGACATATCCTCCTCCCAAACATTGTCAAAAAAAAAAAGCAAATCAAATATAAATTGAATATCAATAATTGCATAAAATAACTTACTACTTAAAGAAACATGCATTACATCATTTGAATTAAAATAAAAGCGAATTAATTATCTTTTTTATAAAAATAAACTCAACTTATTTCAAGTTTATTTTTCGTTCAAATGTTGTATCGAATAGCACTATTTCGATCAAACAGTGCTTTTCACGCCCATTCTACGATATTGTTCTTGAAAACGTTCAAATAAAATATTAAAAAATATTAGTATCAAGTACAAGAGATATAAAAATATTGACGATTGAGTATTTTATAAGATAAAATAAATAAATAAATAAGATCAAACAAAAAAGAATAAAAATTATAATATATACAAGGTCAAGGAATATTAAGTAAATATATACACACATATGTATGAATAATATGATAGAACATATACCGCCAACAAAGACCAAATAATGGTAATAAGAATAATAATAATAAACATACATAAACATGCTTTTATGGTAAAAATAAAAAGTAACAGAGATCAAACTATGTGAGGGTTAATTCAAAAGAGAAACAAAACAGCAAGTATGAAATATATATACCCATGAAAGTTCACATTTAAAAGTGAAAGAAGTGACTAAAATAAATACATTGAAAAACTAAAGGGTCCTAAATTAGAAATAATGTGTTTTCTATCATGTAATACTAACAAGGACCAAAATAGCATAATCATAAATTATTCACTAGGAGCAAATATTTAACCAAAACATATTCAAGAGTACGAAGTGACTAAATTGAAACAAAATGAATAAAATAAGCCAAAATCTAAAATAAATAAAATGTAAAAAGTGACCGAAACAAAATAACATGAAATTAATATGCCCAAAATAAAAGATAAGTAAAACGTGACTTTAGTGACTAACATGTAATTATGCGCTTAAACTAGGGGACTAAAATGTGATTTACTCAGTTTCAAACCTAAGCATATTCTAAACTAAGTAATAAGGAGAAATATCACAAAGAAACCCTTATATCGAAATAAAACCAAAATAACCCCTAAATTAGTGACCATTATAGAAAATACGACGAACCCTAAATTAGTGACCATTATAGAAATACGACGAACCCTCAGGGACCTGGACGCGATTAGATCCTAAACTTTAGTAAAAACCTAAAACTAAGTAAAATGTAAACTAAACTAATCACCCAGCCGCCTCCCTCACTTCACTCTCTCCCTCTTTCCATCAAGCGGCTGAGAAAGCCGAGAAGGCCGAGAGCCAACCCCCAAGACCCACGACGACCGAACCTCAATGATGTCCAACCCTCCGACCATCGACCATGACCAGGGTGGCCCCTCCATCCACCCAACCGGACCAAACTCCTCTTTCTTCTCTCCGGCGATGGCCCAACATAGGTAAAAGCTTTGCTATCTTCCTCTCCTTATTCTGTTTCTATTCGAAAAAAATAATAAAAAAGAAAATTATTGGAAAAGAGGATGAATACCTCTGAATCCCTTTTTTTCTGTTGCATATATTTTTTCAAAATATCGAAGGGGACCCCTTTTTACAATCCGATTTGGGATTTTTATAACCTATTACATGCAAAAGGTATATATATATATATATATATTGTTTTTTTTTTATTTTCTGCTGACTGCTGATTTGGGTTGGTTGACGAAGAGAGGAGAACCATCTCCTGTGGCAGCTGTGGCAGGGCATGGTGAGTTGCAGCAGTTGGTGAGCTCGGGATGGTGGTGTTGTGAAGCACTATGGCACGGGTAAGCTGGTGCAGGCGTGGGGTGCAGTTGATGGCAGTGTATGGTGGGGCTTGGGCAGCAGCAACCATCGGGGCAGAGGGATTTGGTGTGGGTAAGGTTAAAAATGGTGATTACAATTATAAAACGATTAATGTCGAGATAAAAGGGCGAAAGCAAAGCAAATATCATTTTATCCAAACCATTATATATACTAATTCTAGTTTAATGACTAAGCTACAAATCAAGCAAACTATCAGTGCATGAATCTCAACTAAAACCGAGTACTACAGTTAATTCTAGTTTGATCTAAAACTAAAATGGTCCTACTAAACATATAATGGGAAAGAAAAGAAAATGCTAATTCATTCTTCAACAGAACACGTTGACAGCCAGGCATAGAGCCACAACATACTTGAGGACCTTGACACATGTACTGAACAAAACTTTCGGCATTCATCTAATACCCTTCTATGTTCGGGACCTTCGAACAGGAGGATATTATTACATGTCGATAAATAAATAATTTCAAGCATGACATAAAGGCTTATGAGACATCTCCAAAAAAGATGATTGAGCAATAAACAGAAAATATATGGCATTAATCACTACCTGTGGAATCTGTCATACTCGGGACTCCTGTGCCTCCCATATTCAGGACTCCGGTACCTGTCATAAGCAGGACCATCATAGCGATCGTAAACAGGACTACGAGCCCTACCATGGTTTTTAGAATAGAACTTATTAGCGAACCGGTCATGCTACCGATTCACTGGTTTAACCGGTTGAATCGGTCCGACCGGTCGGAAGAACCGGACGACGTTATAATTATTTAAAAATTTAAATAAAAATACTAAAAATATTTAATAAAAAATAATTTTTTATATCACAAGTCATATTCAAAGCAAGTCATAACATATATAAGTTAAAAACCATAAAATCAAGTGAAACAAAATGATTCAAATTAACTACAAAAAAATATTTAAGATAAAACATATTAAATAATAAATATGATTATATAACTATAATTAAAAAATAAATTTGGGGCTAAAAACATAATAACAAAATGATATTGTTTGGTTTAATTTTTTTTAAACAATCTCACATGGTTAAGAATCATAGAAGAGCATCCCAAAAGTCTAAAGAGTAAAAATATGAGAACAAAACAATCCCACATGGCTAAGAAACATAGAAGAATATCCCAACTAACTTCTATAAATAATAGAGGTAATTTGACATTCAAAATCATGGAGTCTTTTGGTGAGCATTGAGTGAACTATTCTTTCACTTCAATCAAGCTCGAATTTTAGGCTTTAATCGAGCTTCTAAATTTTTTTTGAGTTCAAGCCTTTTCGAGTTCGAGTTGAACTTGATAATTTTTAGCTCGTGAGTTTGAGTCGAGTTGAGCTTAATTTTAAAGTTTTCAAGTTCGAGTTGAGCTCAACAATACTCGAGTTCGACTTGGCTCATTTAACAAGCGACACAAAATTGACGGTTTTTTCCGATTTTTTGCCGGTTCGGTTCGAACGGTTCAGCGATTCTGGTCAATTCACTAGTAACGGTTCAATCGGTGTAGATTGAATCGGACTAGGCAATGGTTCCCGGTTGAACCGGCCGATCTGGTCCGGTTTTCAAAACACTGGGCCCTACCATAATCAGGGCTTGTTCGTCTGCGGTATGCAGGACTCGGGGACCTCCCATACGTAGGGATGGGCATGGGTCGGGTTTTTGGTCCATACGAAATTTGTTTTTCACCCGAACCGACCCGATAAATAGTTTAAAAAACCCGAACTGATTAAATTTTTTATTTATTAAAATCCACAAATTTTTTTATTTAAAATATAAAAAATAATTAAAATAATTGTTGAAACTCATGCGGCGTGAAAAGCCAAACTGTCCATTAGTGCTTTTCTGAGATTTCTCACTTTACTTGTTTACAGGAAGCCAAACTGAGGAATAAGTTTTATTATTTTTCTCTTTCTTTTGTCCTTATATAGTATATAATTAGCTATCATTATATTATTATTATTATTATTGAAACATCATTAGGGTGCGTTTGGTTCACGGAATGTAAGATTACCACTGAGAATGTAAGATTACCAGGGAATAAGATTATTGGGAATGCTACATTATTGTCTTTGGTTTGTTTGGCAGGAATGTATGATTATAATGTTTGGTTGAAGGAATATGAGATTACTAGAATGTATATTTTACCAAATTATCCTTGTGCTATATGTGTTAACAAGTGAAATTCTAAATATTTAAATTAAAATATTCATATAAAAAAGCATAAAAATATATTACTTTATTATTTTAAATTTATATACTTTTTAATAAAATTTATATATAATTTTTTTTATAAAATTTAAAAGATAAATGGGTAGAATAACAGAGTAAATATATGTATTATTTTAATTATAATATTATTTTTTTACATTAATTATCTAAAATATATTAAAATTTTACATCATGATTAACTAAATAAGCATATGAAAATTTTAATAGATGAACCATTTTACTCCTAAAGATAACAAAAGCTAAATTTTATAATTTAAACATTTTTTAAAATCAGAACAAAAGCTAAAATTTATATTTATTCATTCAATAATTTCAGCATTTTATTTTGATGTTCTTGATTGAGGTTGTTATTATTATTATCTCCTAGACCGGTCTTCATTGTTGTTTAAAATTTGCTCTAGTTTGTGGTGTCGCAAAGTGGATTTGGAATTCCCGAATATTGAAGTTCGATTAAAAAATCTGAATGTTGAATCTTTTGTCCATGTTTGGAGCAGAGCATTAGCAACCATTCCCAATTTTATTTTTAACATTGCCGAGGTAACAATTAATCTCTTTTTTAGGAATACCCTACCATCCCAATATAGTAAAACAATTTAAACCAGACTTACATGGAATAAGGATCAACCCGGTATAAAGAATTAAATTGAAAAGTAAATAGGTGTTCGAAACATAATTAAGGGATAGTCTTTTCTTGTCCACTTAGTTATTCTAATGTTGAACAGAAATATCTTACAAGTATGAAGTTAAATTTCCCATGGAAGCTTCAAACTTTCATAAATACTCCATAACTCAGCATCCAATATCGAGCAACAATCTATTGACTTTGCAAGACCCTTTTTATTACAACACAACAAATTCATTTTATTTTGCAGATAAGGCTAGATGAACACAAAACATGTGATATTCTTGATACCCATTACGATGCAACATTTATGAGAAACACTGAGAAGCAACAACAATGTTCTAAAGTCAAAATGAAAAGTAAAAGTACAAACTGAAGGATAAGAGATAAGCTTACGTTCTTTGTTTAGCTTACAGAACAAAAATAAGTATAACATTAACCATCAAAATCAACAACAATGTTCAGACTTACAAAAGATAATAGTCATGACATTCTAAACTTAATCATATATATTGATTATATTATATACACAAAAAACTGGCAGCAACCGATGCAACAAAGATGTGTCAACAATTGAGTTTGACTTTAAAGAAACTCTTCTTTTTTATACGGTAATTTCTTAAGATCTACAACGGTTGCTCTAAGAATCTAGAGCACTTCACCTTTTGAAGCAATTACATATTCTTCAACAAACTTATGAAGAATAAAAGAAAAGGCATTATAGATTTTTGTGACGTGCTCGTCTCTGTATATGCGAACTTCACAAGCAGATGAACTCAGAGAGTTAGTCCCAAATTCTGATCTTGGAATACGCCATTGCTTATCCCCACTTTGCCTCCCAGGTAAAGAGATCGGAGCATCATCAGTAGAAAGTAAATCTTCGTCTAGAGCTTCCCTTTTAATTTTGTCACAGTCTCCCAATACTGAGAATTTGAGATGTAAAGTTACTTCGACATTCTTTGGTCATTGAAGTGAGAGCAGACACCAGAGAGGACTCTCTGGTAATGGTTCGTCGAGACAAAACCTGAAAAAAATGGTAATGAACAAAAAAATGAGTTTGGGGAAGAGAATCATGTTTCTTCGTAACAATGCATAGATAAAAAATACTCAGAATAAAAAGAAATAAGCATTAAAGGCAATAAAGTGCTATTTTTTTTTATCATAATTACCTCATTCCAATTCCGTGTGTAACGTTTAGTGACATCATAAACTCCATCTTCTGCAATAGCAATTACATAATTTAATTTCTTTTTCCACTTGTAGAAAGGAAACATTTATTTTAACTGTAGTATCAAAACAAAAAAAATATTTTTTTTCTATAAAAATGGATAATAGCACAAATTAGAGTACCCTTCCTCATATAATAGCGGTCTGTCATAGATTGCTTCACAAGGATCAAGATGCATCCACCTGTACAAAAATGAATGAATAATTAGTTCGTGAAATGACCACATAGTTTAGCCTCTTTGCTACATAATAGGGATCCTTCCCAATTGAAGATTAAAAGACATTAATTTGGGTTTTTTTTACCTTCCCAGGGCTTCTGAATAGCACTCTGTCCAAACATGGCCTGTAAAATCAAGGACCTGAAATGAAGAGTTGGTGCAAAATAAAACATCATCTCAAGCAAGCAAATTATCCGAAGTCCCATGGAATGTTATCTTTAAACAGCTAGAACTAATTAAAATGTATGCAATTATGCACGCATTTGCTGTTAAAGTACACAATTCTAGATACATTTCATGCCACCATAAATATTGATTTCATATATTGCAAAATCAATAACTTCAATTTATACAATTATCAGCAAAGGAACCAGTGAACCACTCAGTTATAAAGCTAAAAATGTGTTTCATTTACAATGTCAAAGACATCAAAATATTATACATAAACAAACATACCATTTTAAAATTCTTTAAATCTATCTTGAACATGTTCTTTGTTTGGCAGACAATACAGAATCAAAATAATCCAGGTCAAACATTGTCCTAATATCAAATAAAAGGTTTATCTTCATTGAATTTCCAAATCCTTCTATTTAGTGGACTAGTACAGATATCCTATCATCAAAAGCTTCAGATCGAAAGAATAACAATTCCAGGTCCATATATACCACACATATATATTGCAAGTACAACAGTCGGAACAAATTTCTTTCTTATTATAAATTTGCTTAACCATCTTTTTAACGATAGAAAGAGTTGTGTTTTAGTCAGTTGGATTTGGAGATTGAATTGACATATAAATGACTAACCAGACGAGAGTCATAGCCAAAAGCACGACAATACTATGTGAAGCAATTGGCCCACTCTCCACAACGCCCCTTTCTTGTTTCTACAAGCTGCAAAAAGAAATAGAGAAAATTCAACAATTGATACTTGAACCCCACACACAAGGAAAAGAAAAAAGAAGATAATGGTAGAACGAAGTGTTACAGCTTCATACCTTCAATGGGTCATTGTAGCGAGGGAACCATGTAACTCTTGAACAAGAATTGCAACTGTAGTTTTTCACCCAAGAATTAACTTTTCTTTCTAACAGACAATTATCAGAAACCAAGTTATTATGTAAATGCAACAATGGAGAAAACGAGGCTCAACCAAGACTTATCAACCTCCTGAATTCCATCCAGTTGATGTATCAAGACCTCCATTTAACCCCAAAAAAACCCACTAAATAATGGAAGGATAGGACATGATGCTAAGAAAATAACTCAAAATAACCATTGAGAAAAATGATTAGTTACGTTTAATGAAAATAATTCAAAATAACCCTAAACCTTTGTTTCCCTAGACCATGAAAGAAAGCAAACAATTGTTTCCCTAGACCATGAAAACCCAGTTTTCAAATTCAATCATCAAGTCGATGAATCAAACGAAATAACTAAACTCGAAACCAAAGACCCATCAAAGCCCAGTTCAAGATTGAGTGCTAGACAAGACAGAACTGAGAAGACAAAGATAGAGTAACCTTTGAATAATAGAAACGCGTGGATTTAATAGTACTACTAGGGAGGAACAAAAACTACAAATAGGGAGAGAGAGAGACAAACATAGCAACAGATTAGCAGATAGAGCTAGAGCACCACAGAAGAAGTCTGTTGGAGAAATAATGGACAGATCTTCGCAACTCTTGTCAAATTGAAGAATAAGAAATTTTGTTTCAGCCAGAACCAAGCTAACGGGGAGAAGGGTATTTTAGCCAACAGAGGACGGGAATAAACAAATACCTAAGGGAGACATGGTATTTGGATTCCCAGTTAAACAGAACAAAAAAACCACTGTTGGTATTTAGTTTTTACCCTCACTTGGGAATATGGCCTATCCAAACATGGGTATCTTAATCCGGGAAAAAATAATTCCTCCCAGGAATGAAGAAATCTGTGAACCAAATGGGCTGTTATTGTATAGCCATGAAAAAAGGAGGGGAAAAGCCGTGAAAAGCATTAAAATGTGTTAAAACAATAGCTAAAATAATTATTGGAAGTCGCGCCCTCGGGAACCAAAAATTACCGAAATAGGAAAGTAAAAAAAAATAAAAAAACAATTATTCATTAACTATGCGGGTTGGGTCGGGTAGGATTATTTTAGCCCCCAACCCGACTCTGAAAATTTTAATATAAAACCCGACCCGAAACCGAATTTTTTAAAAAAAAAATCTGACCCGATCGGGTCGAAACCCGTTGGGTTCAGATTCCATGCCCATCCCTATCCATACGGACTATACCCACGTCTACCATAGCCACCTCCAATTCTAGGGCTACCATATCTGTCATCCTTCTCATCATCATCCCTTAAAGCATATTCAACAGACACAACTCTGTCCAATAACTTGCTGTAAAGGCATACATAGTACTTTAGAAGCAATACCACCGACAACAAACACACTTTAGAGAAAAGAGTATATTTTACCTCCTTTGTGTAGCTTCAAGGGCTTTAGTAGCTCCCTCTTGTGCAGTAAACTGCACAAAAGCAAAGTTCCGCCTAATGCAAACATGAAGAACCTTCCCATATGGCTCAAAGTGCCTCAGTATATCACGATCCCTAGTACAAATTGGATCAAAGTTGATAACAAACAAGGTTTTGGTGGGTCTCTGATTTGTCACTGAACTAGAACCATCACGATGTCGACCACGTTCACCCTTACAAGAAAATACCATTTTTAGAAATTACTGCTTTCATTCCCATTTAAACTCAAAAGCAGCAGCTGTAGTAAGGAGTAACTCAGAAAGAAGAATAATTTTAGCCAACAGAGGACGGGAATAAACAAATACCTAAGGGAGACATGGTATTTGGATTCCCAGTTAAACAGAACAAAAAAACCACTGTTGGTATTTAGTTTTTACCCTCACTTGGGAATATGGCCTATCCAAACATGGGTATCTTAATCCGGGAAAAAATAATTCCTCCCAGGAATGAAGAAATCTGTGAACCAAATGGGCTGTTATTGTATAGCCATGAAAAAAGGAGGGGAAAAGCCGTGAAAAGCATTAAAATGTGTTAAAACAATAGCTAAAATAATTATTGGAAGTCGCGCCCTCGGGAACCAAAAATTACCGAAATAGGAAAGTAAAAAAAAATAAAAAAACAATTATTCATTAACTATGCGGGTTGGGTCGGGTAGGATTATTTTAGCCCCCAACCCGACTCTGAAAATTTTAATATAAAACCCGACCCGAAACCGAATTTTTTAAAAAAAAAATCTGACCCGATCGGGTCGAAACCCGTTGGGTTCAGATTCCATGCCCATCCCTATCCATACGGACTATACCCACGTCTACCATAGCCACCTCCAATTCTAGGGCTACCATATCTGTCATCCTTCTCATCATCCCTTAAAGCATATTCAACAGACACAACTCTGTCCAATAACTTGCTGTAAGGCATACATAGTACTTTAGAAGCAATACCACCGACAACAACACACTTTAGAGAAAAGAGTATATTTTACCTCCTTTGTGTAGCTTCAAGGGCTTTAGTAGCTCCCTCTTGTGCAGTAAACTGCACAAAAGCAAAGTTCCGCCTAATGCAAACATGAAGAACCTTCCCATATGGCTCAAAGTGCCTCAGTATATCACGATCCCTAGTACAATTGGATCAAAGTTGATAACAAACAAGGTTTTGGTGGGTCTCTGATTTGTCACTGAACTAGAACCATCACGATGTCGACCACGTTCACCCTTACAAGAAAATACCATTTTTAGAAATTACTGCTTTCATTCCCATTTAAACTCAAAAGCAGCAGCTGTAGTAAGGAGTAACTCAGAAAGAAGAATAACACACCTTAGCCCACTCCACAGACAGCCGTTGTCGATCATAGCCAAAAGTAATATTATCAAGTCCACGAATAGCATCTTCAGCATCACGTTATTCCTCAAAATAAATGAAGGCAAATCCTGCAATTTGAACTCAAATTAGTTGCACAAGTGATAGTCCACGATAGCATCTTCAGCATCACGTTATTCCTCAAAATAAATGAAGGCAAATCCTGCAATATGAACTCAAATTAGTTGCACAAGTGATAGTTTTCGTAATTGGTGCTATACCTGCACAAATAGAGTACATTATTTGCCAAAGCACATGATTTCTTTTCGCTTCAAGAACTATAAAAAAATATACAACACCTGCATACATGTGAAGTAAGGGCTGATACACACAAGGATGTACAAGCGGTCCATGATGAACTTAATCAAGAAGGTGACATATTAAAGGTTAAAATCCAAGTTTTCAGGTCTGATACATCATTGCAAAGCATGCTGGCCATTGAGATAGTGGGAGTTCGAAATAGAAGGCATGGCATGACAGAATTCAGTGATCTTCTATAATCAGTGGTAGTAGGCATGACATGATAATTTGATGGATCCCCACCAGCAAGTGAGGAGGGTGAGTAACATGATGGAGAGAGAAAATGCAGGATGATGCTATCTGTAAGTGGCCCTTAGAAGAAGTCCCTGCGTCAAAACAAACACTTAATATGGAGGCTTACTCTTAACAAAATTAAAAGCCTAGGGGTGCTATTCTAATTCTTCCTGCAAAATGCGATCGGATAACAGACCTGTCTTTTTGCTGCATAACTACAAGTACATACACAGGGGTACCACTCAACAAACCGAAACTAACACTTCACAGTGCCAGTTAAGACTTATTAATGAAAAATAAGCGAGACAAAGCAACTAGAACTCAGATATCAGTCAAAAGGTAAAGAATTAAACGAGTTGAACTTAATTTCATGAAACTTAGCCACTATCAACATAAGAAACAATTTTAGCAAATTGGTTAAGATCAGCCAAACATCAACAAAATATAGAAGGGGACAAAGCACAGCAAACAAATAAATTTCATATTACCAGATTTCATGTCAACCCGCTCGATCCTTCCGTACTTTGAAAACAAACGTTCCAGCTCCGACTGTCGAGTCTCGTACTCGAAGTTCCCCACAAACACAGGCATATTTTTCCACCGAAAGTCCTTTAAACAAACCTGCAGAAAAGTGAAAAGAAAAAGGAGATTACCACTACTGTTCATCTCTAAAACATACAATAAACGGAGCTACCTTTAAGGGAACCAAACAAAATAATTCTTGAGAATACCTTGCCAGAAGCGATAGAAACCCTTAAACGTTAATCGAAAACCCTAAACAGAAATAAAGTAAGGAAATAACGGCGCAAATCCCATATATATAGTGCGAAGCAAAGTCCTGAAAGAGTAAATTTAGAGATGATGCTGTCATGATCCTTCTTAGCCGTTAGATTGTCACAGCATTCAGCATGACGCAATATTAACCGTTAGATGGTTAGAGGTATAGCTTAATCGAGTTTTGATGAGCCCAGAAAGGCCTAATAGCAACTGGTTTTTGAACCAACAAATACGAGCCCATAGGCAATACAAAAGTCATTTTGCCATCAATCAAACTATTTTAATAGTTAAAAGACTAATTGTTATATAGTTTAAATATATAAAAAGTGTCTAACTTATGACTTTAGTTCTAATTTAGTACATAACGTTTATTTTGTTTCAGTTTAGTGCTTAATGCATCATTTCATAACTCAAACTGAGTTAGGCCGTGACGAATCATTAAGTTTGGCCGTTAAGTGACACGTGTCATAACCTGATAATTTTAAAAAATTATTTAAAATTAAAAAATAATATATATTTTTTTAAAGAAAACACAAATTATGAAATAAACCCAAAACTTTGAAAACCTTCATTTCAACCTCTAAACCCATGCCGACCACCGCGGGGAACAAAACCCTATGAAATCGTGACCGATCGACGGTCGATGGGCCGTCAGAATCACGTGTAATCGTGATTTTCATCCTAGGGTCGCGGTGTAAAACGTTAATTCGTCATCGATCGACCGTATTTTATGGGGGTTTTGGTCGCCGAGGGGAGGGGAGGTCGGGTGGAGCTTCGTCGATGGCAAAAGGCGGTGGACGGTGTGGGTTTAAGGGTTGAAATGAAGGTTTTCAAAGTTGTGAGTTTATTTCATAATTTGTGTTTTCTTTCAAAAATTTATATATAATTTTAATTTTTACTTTAAATAAAATTTTTAAAATTTCCAGGTTGTGACATGTGTCACTTAACAGTCAAACTTAATGGTTCGTTATGGCCTGACCCAATTTGAATTACAGAATGAAACGTTAGGCACCAAACTGAAACTAAATAAACGTTAGACACCAAACTGGAACCAAAGGCCTATGTTGGACACCTTTTGTATATTTAAGCCTTGTTATATTTAAAAGTCTCGAGTTTGTGTACATTTACAGGGAAGCTTGAAGATTAATTGTCAAAGTATTTCAAATAAATATTGTCTTATAATCAATCTAGATTATTATATATGAATTTATTATTAATTCAACTGAATTATTTTTTAAAAATTATAATTTAATTATTTAGTTAGAGTATATTATTATAAATTTCATTAACAGTTAAATATCATATGAAATAATTTTGAGAATTAAAGTTATAGTATATAATACCCTTTTACTAATACATAATAGTGGATTGAATTAATCCATATACATTCTCTGTCTAGAATGTAAACTTTTACATTTACAATTCTAATGCATGTTAATCAATCATACACAAAGCCGAAGTTTGATATTTTTGGTTGCTTATCTGCAACCAAGTTCTTGACGTCGACTTTAACAGCCCCACTATGCTCCTAAATCCTTTTAGCAATTTTAAGCAACCTGTCTTCACCAATTATCTTCTCCGATGAAATCCAAACCATTTTAGTGTCGATCATAGTATCAAATTGCGGTTACGAATTTTGTTGTAGATACGATTGCGGTGTCGCGGTTGCGAATATTGCGGACGTTACGTAACGTGTTGCGGTTGTTGCGAGCTTGATCTCTTCCTCAAAAATCACAATAAACTTAAAATATTATATTTATATATTTTACAGTTATCTTTTAATATATTAATATTAATATACTATTTTAATATTTTTTTGAAAATAAAAATTTAATTTCATATATAAAAATTTATTAAAAACAAATATAAACTATAAAAGTGCTATCATACTAGATAATGGGTAATAACAATTATAATGTTAATAAATAACATATAAACAATATCACTAAAATCATATCAATTTTTTTATATTGTAACATAAAAATATTCATTTTACATAACTTAGAAAGAAAGAAAAAATGCATAACTACAAATAGAAAAATTATATATCTTACAGTTCACCACCAAAATGAATGGCGTGGCAAATTTAAAGCATTTTCATTTTCATCTTCGTCATTGTCTTAGTTTAGATTCATTCCTATTTCATACGAAGAAGACATCACATTATGTGCATCATTGGTAGAAAACATGTTGTATGATAAAATTTTATAGTAAATAGATTATATAAAATTTTATAGTAAATAGATTGTATAAAATTTTATAGTTTCATAGTAAATAGATAAAATATATATACTATTATAATATTATAAAGTGAATTCCTCTCTTATACAAAATTTATATAATAAATAAATAATAAATTATAATACTTAATGTTAATATAAAATTTTAATTTAAATTAATCACGATAATTTTAAATATGAGAAAAATTAAATTAAATTTAATTTTAAAATAACGTTAATAATAATTTAATTAATTCAAATTTAAGTAACTAATTTTAATAAAACTATTACAATATTATGATATATATATATATATATATAATCCAATTTTA